CTGCTGTACATCACAAAGTAAATAACACACTGTAACCACTGTTACTGAAGAGAGCTGGTGATAGCAGGGGAACACTGATGTTAAACTACAAGTCCAAAGCTGTGCTGTAGACACTGCTGACCCCTGGTGTTAGAAAGCACAGCTCCTTCATTAATTTCAGTGGGATACACATGAAGAAAAACAAAAAACAGGAGTCCACCAACAAAGCTAGTTCCACTTCCACTCTTGCCACAACCCACTGCAACAGCATTGTGTTATTTACAATAAATCAGTGACGTGCGGTCAGGTGAGGCAGGTGAGGCAGAGCCTCCCCTGTCAATCTTGAAAAGAAAAAAAAGTTAACCATAAAATATAATAAATGTTAATATTTGTCGACTGGTGTGTGTTGTAGGCCCTTTTTGCCGTTCGAATCTGATGTTGAAGGATGTTTTATTTCAATAAAGAATAGCAGAATTTCCGTATGTCCCGTTCAAATACATGGAGGAGATGCGCGATGAGGCAGCACTTTGCTGTGCCTCTCGGTGGATCGTGTAATCCTCACAAACTGTATGCGATGCAAATAGTGTGTCGCTGTCCCTCTATATATCGCAAATAAAATGCTTTCAAACACTCTGATTATATGCTCTGCCTTGCCATAATCTGGATAATGTATAAAATGTAGTTCTGTAACGTGTTTAGGCTTATATTTCCTTTACAATCCGCCTTATCAAAATGGAAGATTACATTTCCAAGCTGAGAAAATTCGCAAATCTGGACTTTCAATCAAAACATTTTTGACAGTCTGGACATTTTTGTCCAGAAGGATCTTCTCAGCTCTCTTCAGGTCATTGACCAGGTCCTCTTGTATAGTTCTAGGCTGACCCCTCACCTTTCTCAGCATTGTTGATACTCCACGAGGCGAGATCTTGCATGGAGCCCCAGTCCGAGGGAGACTGACAGTCATCTTGAATTTCTTACATTTTCTAATAATTGCGCCAACAGTTGCTGCCTTCTCACCAAGCTGTTTGCCTATTGTCCTGTAGCCCACCCCAGCCTTGTGCAGGTCTACAATTTAGTCCCTAGTGTCCTTAGACAGCTCTTTTGTCTTGCCCATAGTGGAGAAGTTGGAGTCTGATAGATTGTGTGTGAAAAGGTGTCTTTTATACAAGGCCAGAGTCCATTTACCAGAGCTCTCCAGAGTTCTTTAAAGACTTTATCGCCATCTTCTGGACAAGATTGGGCATTACAAACTTTGAAGACTGACTAGTGTTTTATTAGGTTCAAGGTTCAAGGATTGTCAATTCACCATATGTGCAGGACATACAGAAAATCGAAATACCGTTTCTCTCTCACCTAGTATTGAGTGCCATAGCATTTAGGAGCTAAAACAGAATAAAGTAGAATAAAAAAAAGAATAGAATAAGAACTGGATTAACGTAATCAGGATAAATCTAAACTGTACAGCCAATAAGCTGTGACTCAAAACCGTGTACAGTCATTGACAGTAGTGCAAACAATAATCGGAGATTGTCAGATGGTTCAGCATCACCAGGGCGATGGTGATGAGGTATATATAGCATATGAGGTTTACATGGACAGTATTGCAAATGACCACCAGCAGCAGATTTACATATAACATAACAGATGGTAAAACAGCAAAGGTAGTTTTTTTTATCTGTAATATAACAAAAAGGGGGAGTGTACTGAGTTTGTGCAACAGCAGGGCTAGTCTTTTTATATCTTTTTATGTTCTGTGGTGGGTTACGGTCCAGGGGCAGAGGGGAGGAGGTAACGGACAGCCTACAGCATCCTCACAGCCTGGTGAATGAAGCTGTTTGTAAGTCTGGTGGAGTGGGCCTGAAGCCTCCGATACTTTCTCCCTGAAGGCAGGACTCTGAAGTGGGAGTGTGAGGGGTGGGAGGTGTCATCAGTAATGCTGATGGCTCTGTGGGTGAGGCAGGTGTTGAACATGTCTATAAGGGAAGGCGGAATTATTACACACACTGATGATTAAGAGAGAAATCTGCCCGGCAATAGCACCAAATATGTTTATTAAATTCAGAATGAATAGTCCAACCTTAAAATACTGTATGTCCAGGAAGTGTTGTTGAAAACATGAATGGGATTTTTTTTTTAAAACAAAAGCTACCATACACTGTAAGTGTGAAAAGTATAACAATGTCTGCTGCTTGTTTGCATATCTGTGCTCCATTTCACTCTAGAGAGAGAAATTAACAAAATAAATTAAAGTCTGTTTTATGTGATACAGTATACACCTACAGGGGGCAAATAAGTATTTGATACACCGCTGATTTTTCTAGTTTTCCCCACTTACAAAGAATGGACCGATCTGTCATTTTCATCGTAGGTACACCTCAACTGTGAGAGACGAAATCTACAAAAAAAAAAAAAACAATTACAGAAAATCACATTTAGATTTAAATAATTTATTTCCATTTTATTGCAAAAATAAGTATTTGAAACAATATAAAAATAGAACTTAATATTCGGTACCAAAACCTTTGTTTACAATTACAGAGGTCAGATGTTTCCTCTAGTTCTTGACCAGGTTTGCACACGCTGCAGCAGGGATTTTGGCCCACTCCTCCACACAGGTCTTCTCCAGATCTTTCAGGTTTTGGGGCTGTCGCTGGGCAACATGGAGTTTCAGCTCCCTCCATAGATTTTCTAT